TGGTAAATCCACTGCTGGATGGAGACGGTGGTGATATCTCTACCCTGTGCGTGTTCTCTACTCCACGTGTTCCTCTCTGTGTCTCTGTGTCTCAGTGTCACCACCACCTTCACCACCTCCATAACCACCTTCACCACCACCATAGCCACCTCCACCACCACCATAACCACCACCATAGCCACATCCACCACCTCTACCACCACCACCTTCACCACCACCATAACCACCTCCACCACCTCCACCACCACCACAACCACCTCCACCACCACCATAACCACCTCCACCACCACCACCTCCACCACCACCTCCACCACCACCACCTCCACCACCACCTTCACCACCTCCACCACCTCCACCACCACCACCACCTCCACCACCACCTCCACCACCTCCACCACCACCTCCACCACCTTCACCACCACCTCCACCACCTCCACTACCTCCACTACCACGACCACCTCAACAACCACCTTCACCACCACCTCCACCACCACCTTCACCACCACCTTCACCACCACCTCCACCACCTCCACTACCACCTCCACTACAACCACCACCACCACCTCCACCTTCACCACCACCTCCACCAACACCACCACCTCCACCTTCACCACTACTTCCACCACCACCACCTCCACCACCTCCACCTTCACCACCACCACCTCCACTACCTCCACTACCACGACCACCACCTCCGGGTCGAGTGAACGAGCGATTTCAGTAACTCCAGAAGTCAAAAAAAACAAAAATAAATCTTCGACTGAATGAACGACTGAGTGACTGACTGACCGAACGACTGACTGACTAACTGAGTGACTGACTGACCTAACGACTGACTGACTGAACGACTGACTGAGTGACTGACTGACTGACTGAGTGACTGACTGACCGAATGACTGACTGACTGATTGACTGACTGAGTGACTGAGTGACTGACTGACTGACTGAGTGACTGACTGACTGAGTGATTGACTGACCTAACGACTGACTGACTGACTGAGTGACTGACTGACCTAATGACTGACTGACTGAGTGACTGACTGAGTGACTGAGTGACTGACTGACTGACTGAGTGACTGACTGACTGAGTGATTGACTGACCTAACGACTGACTGACTGACTGAGTGACTGACTGACCTAATGACTGACTGACTGAGTGACTGACTGAGTGACTGAGTGACTGACTGACCTAACAACTGACTGAGTGACTGACTGACTGACTGCCTGAGTGACTGACTGACCTAATGACTGACTGACTGAGTGACTGACTGACTGACTAACTGACTGACCGACTGAGTGACTGACTGACTGAGTGACTGACTGACCTAATGACTGACTGACTGACTGAGTGACTGACTGACCTAATGACTGACTGACCTAACGACTGACTGACTGACTGAGTGACTGACTGACTGACTGAGTGACTGACTGACCTAACAACTGAGTGACTGACTGACCTAACGACTGACTGACTGACTGAGTGACTGAGTGACTGACTGAGTGACTGACTGACCGACTGAGTGACTGACTGACTGAGTGACTGACTGACTGAGCGACTGACTGACTGACCGAACAACTGACTGACTGACTGACCTAACAACTGACTGACTGACTGAGTGACTGACTGACTGAGTGACTGACTGACTGACCTAACAACTGACTGACTGACCTAACAACTGACTGACCGACTGAGTGACTGACTGACTGAGTGACTGACTGACTGAGTGACTGACTGACCGACTGAGTGACTGACTGACTGACCTAACAACTGACTGACTGACTGACCTAACAACTGACTGACTGACTGAGTGACTGACTGAGTGACTGACTGACCGACTGAGTGACTGACTGAGTGACTGACTGACTGAGTGACTGACTGACTGACTGAGTGACTGACTGACTGACCTAACAACTGACTGACTGACTGACCTAACAACTGACTGACCGACTGAGTGACTGACTGACTGAGTGACTGACTGACCGACTGAGTGACTGACTGACTGACCTAACAACTGACTGACTGACTGACCTAACAACTGACTGACTGACTGAGTGACTGACTGAGTGACTGACTGACCGACTGAGTGACTGACTGACTGAGTGACTGACTGATTGAGTGACTGACTGACTGACTGAGTGACTGACTGACTGACCTAACAACTGACTGACTGACTGACCTAACAACTGACTGACTGACTGAGTGACTGACTGAGTGACTGACTGACCGACTGAGTGACTGACTGACCTAACAACTGACTGACTGACTGACCTAACAACTGACTGACTGACTGAGTGACTGACTGACTGACCTAACGACTGACTGAGTGACTGACTGACTGACTGAGTGACTGACTGACTGACCTAATGACTGACCTAACAACTGACTGACTGACTAACTGAGATACTGACTGACTGACTGAGAGACTGACTGACTGACTGAGTGACTGACTGAGTGACTGACTGACTGACTGATTGAGTGACTGACTGAGTGACTGACTGAGTGACCGACTGACTGACTGATTGAGTGACTGACTGATTGAGTGACTGACTGATTGAGTGACTGACTGACTAACTGAGTGACTGACTGACTGATTGACTGAGTGACTGACCTACCTAACGACTGACCGACCGCGTGAAGTGGCGACGACGGTGGTGAAGTATGGACGCTGGGATATTTGAGGTGACTCGTCTTCTGACACGCGCTGCGACGAGTGGACGGATGAATGAACTTGGCTATTCTCGGCCTCGTGAGAGGGGACACAGAATGAGGGGCCAAGCGACAGACGACTCAGCGTCAAAGTTATAATTGGAGATAAACACCGGGGGGGTGATGGGTGGGGGGTGATGGGGGGGGGGGGTGATGGGTGGGGGGTGATGGAGTGATGGAGGGGGTGATGGAGAGAGAGGGGTGGTGATGGGGGGTGATGGGTGGGTGATGGGGGGGTGATGGGGGGGGTGATGGGGGGTGATGGGGGGGGGGGTGATGGAGTGATGGAGGGGGTGATGGAGAGAGAGAGAGGTGGTGATGGGTGGGGTGATGGGGGTGATGGGTGGGGGGTGATGGAGTGATGGAGGGGGTGATGGAGAGAGAGAGAGGTGGTGATGGGTGGGTGATGGGGGGTGATGGGTGGGGGTGATGGAGTGATGGAGGGGGTGAGGAGAGAGAGGGGTGGGTGATGGGGGGTGATGGGTGGGTGATGGGGGGTGATGGGGGGGGTGATGGGGGGGGTGATGGGGGGGTGATGGTGGTGATGGGGGGGGGTGATGGGGGGGGTGGTGGGGGGGGTGATGGGTGGTGATGGGGGGGGGGGTGATGGGGGGGGTGGTGGGGGGGATGATGGAGTGATGGAGGGGGAGATGGAGAGAGAGGGGGGGTGATGGGGTGGGTGATGGGGGGTGATGGGGGTGATGGTTGTAGGGGTTAGAGGCGATAAGAGGGGGCTATGGGGGGGGTCTATACATAGCGAGGCGACGCGAGTCTGACTCATTGGATGCAATTGACTTGGTTATCTCACTCAGTTACTCACTCACTCAGTCACTCACTCAGTCACTCACTCACCCACCCACTCACTCAGTCAGTCATTCACTCAGTCACTCACTCACTCACTCACCCACCCACTCACTCAGTCACTCACTCAGTCACTCAGCCACTCACTCACTCACTCAGTCACCCACTCAGTCACTCACTCACTCACTCACCCACCCACTCACTCAGTCAGTCATTCACTCAGTCACTCACTCACTCACTCACCCACCCACTCACTCAGTCAGTCATTCACTCAGTCACTCACTCACTCACTCACCCACTCACTCACTCAGTCACTCACTCACTCACTCAGTCACTCACTCACTCAGTCACTCACTCACTCAGTCACTCACTCACTCAGTCACTCACTCAGTCACTCACTCACTCAGTCACTCACTCAGTCACTCACTCAGTCACTCAGCCACTCAGTCACTCACTCACTCAGTCACTCACTCACTCAGTCACTCACTCAGTCACTCACTCACCCACCCACTCACCCACCCACTCAGTCAGTCATTCACTCAGTCACTCACTCACTCACCCACCCACTCACTCAGTCACTCACTCACTCAGTCACTCAGCCACTCACTCACTCACTCAGTCACTCACTCAGTCACTCATTCACTCAGTCACTCACTCAGTCACTCAGTCACTCACTCACTCAATCACTCAGTCACTCACTCACCCACCCACTCACTCACCCACCCACTCACTCAGTCAGTCATTCACTCAGTCACTCACTCACTCACCCACCCACTCACTCAGTCACTCACTCACTCAGTCACTCAGCCACTCACTCACTCACTCAGTCACTCACTCAGTCACTCATTCACTCAGTCACTCACTCAGTCACTCAGTCACTCACTCACTCAATCACTCAGTCACTCACTCACCCACCCACTCACTCACCCACCCACTCACTCAGTCAGTCATTCACTCAGTCACTCACTTACTCACCCACCCACTCACTCAGTCACTCAGCCACTCACTCAGTCACTCAGTCACTCATTCACTCAGTCAGTCACTCAGTCACTCACTCACTCACCCACTCACTCACCCACTCACTCACCCACTCACTCACTGACTCACCACTCACTCACCCACTCACTCACTGACTCACCACTCACTCACCCACTCACCACTCACTCACCCACCCACTCACTCACCCACCCACCCACTCACCACTCACTCACCACTCACCACCCACTCATCACCCACTCAATCAACTTGCCCGTAAGCCACGCCCACAAAAGTATCGACCAATCAGGAGCCGTGGTTTGGCTCTTAAATATCCATGAGCAGAGTGAAAACGGATCAGTGGGGCCGGATCCGAACTCACCGACACACTCACACTGGTACTGATACTCACTGGTACTCACTGGTACACTCACTGGTACACTCACTGGTACACTCACTGGTACTGATACTCACTGGTACACTCACTGGTACACTCACTGGTACTCACTGGCACACTCACTGGTACTCACTGGTACTGATACTCACTGGTACTCACTAGTACACTCACTGGGATACTCACTGGCACTCACTGATACTCACTGGTACACTCACTGGTACACTCACTGGTACACTCACGGATACTCACTAGTACACTCACTGGTACACTCACTGGTACACTCACTGGTACTCACTGGTACACTCACTGGTACTCCCTGGTACACGCATTGATACTCACTGATACTCACTGGTACTCACTGATACACTCACTGGTACACGCATTGATACTCACTGATACTCAGTGGTACACTCACTGGTACTCACTGGTACACTCACTGATACTCACGGATACTCACTGGCACCCACTGGTACTCACTGGTACTCACTGGTACTCACGGATATTTGCTCGCCGAGAGCAACGAAGCCGTGAAGAACACCTCGGACTTGAGATCATTCACGTGCAGGTGAGTGTGGGTGGGTGTGGGTGGGTGTGGGTGGGTGTGTGGGTGAGTGTGGGTGGGTGTGTGGGTGAGTGAGTGAGTGGGTGAGTGAGTGAGTGGGTGTGTGGGTGAGTGGGTGAGTGAGTGAGTGGGTGAGTGAGTGGGTGAGTGAGTGAGTGGGTGATTGAGTGTGTGTGTGGGTGGGTGAGTGGGTGGGTGAGTGAGTGGGTGTGGGTGTGTGGGTGAGTGGGTGAGTGGGTGTGTGAGTGAGTGGGTGGGTGAGTGGGTGAGTGAGTGGGTGGGTGAGTGGGTGGGTGAGTGAGTGGGTGAGTGGGTGAGTGGGTGGGTGAGTGAGTGGGTGAGTGAGTGAGTGGGTGAGTGGTTGGGTGAGTGAGTGAGTGTGCAGGTGAGTGTGGGTGAGTGTGGGTGGGTGTGGGTGTGTGGGTGAGTGAGTGAGTGGGTGTGTGGGTGAGTGGGTGAGTGGGTGAGTGAGTGGGTGTGTGGGTGAGTGGGTGAGTGGGTGAGTGGGTGGGTGAGTGGGTGAGTGAGTGAGTGGGTGTGTGGGTGAGTGGGTGAGTGTGGGTGGGTGTGTGGGTGAGTGTGGGTGAGTGAGTGGGTGAGTGAGTGAGTGGGTGTGTGGGTGAGTGGGTGAGTGTGGGTGGGTGTGTGGGTGAGTGTGGGTGAGTGTGGGTGGGTGTGTGGGTGAGTGTGGGTGGGTGTGGGTGGGTGTGTGGGTGAGTGAGTGAGTGAGTCTTGACTGAGTGGGTGAGTGAGTGGGTGAGTGGGTGAGAGAGTGTGTGGGTCGGTGGGTGAGTGAGTGAGTATGTGAGTGAGTGGGTGAGTGTGTGAGTGAGGATGTGAGTGAGTGTGAGTGGGTGAGTGGGTGAGTGTGTGAGTGGGTGAGTGAGTGTGTGAGTATGTGAGTGGGTGAGTGGGTGGGTGGGTGAGTGAGTGAGTGGGTGAGTGAGTGGGTGGGTGGGTGAGTGAGTGAGTGTGAGTGGGTGAGTGGGTGAGTGGGTGTGAGTGGGTGAGTGTGAGTGAGTGAGTGTGTGAGTGGGTGAGTGTGTGGGTGAGTGAGTATGTGAGTGAGTGTGAGTGGGTGAGTGTGTGAGTATGTGAGTGAGTCTTGACTGAGTGAGTGGGTGAGAGAGTGTGTGGGTCGGTGGGTGGGTGAGTGAGTGTGTGAGTGGGTGAGAGGGTGAGTGGGTGAGTGAGTATGTGAGTGAGTGGGTGAGTGTGTGAGTGAGTATGTGAGTGAGTGTGAGTGGGTGAGTATGTGAGTGTGTGAGTGAGTGAGTCTTGACTGAGTGAGTGGGTGAGTGGGTGAGAGAGTGTGTGGGTCGGTGGGTGGGTGAGTGAGTGTGTGAGTGGGTGAGAGGGTGCGTGGGTGAGTGAGTATGTGAGTGAGTGGGTGAGTGTGTGAGTGAGGATGTGAGTGAGTGTGAGTGGGTGAGTGGGTGAGTGTGTGAGTGGGTGAGTGAGTGTGTGAGTATGTGAGTGAGTGTGAGTAGGTGAGTGTGTGAATGTGTGGTTTAACAGCAGAGGTCTCACTCCGAATCAGTCGAGCGGCAATATATTTTCATCGGTTGCGTAACGCCGTGTGGAAGCTACCTGGTCTGTCGCTCCGCACTAAGCTTCAGGTCTTCTCGGCCACGGTCATTCCCTCCCTTCTCTACGCTTGCGAAACGTGGACCCCCCTAATGGAACATCTTCGCCGGTTAGAAACGTTCAGGCTGGCTTGCCTACGATCCATCCTGGGTTTAACCAGACTGGATTGTGTGAGGAGCTCACAAATCCTTGAAAGATCTGGGCAAGGTCCCATCGTGAGCTCCTCCGGCGGGCAAGGCTGCGATGGCTGGATCATGTAGCCCGCATGCCCAGCCACCGCATGCCGAAACAGCTTTTGTTCGGCCGGATTGAGGGGGCTAAGCGGGCGCGGCACGGGCTAGAGAAGAGATGGAGTGATGTGGTACAGGAGGACGTGGAGCTGAGTGGACTTGCCGATGACTGGTACCAGCGGTGTCAAGATCGGCCTCTGTGGAGGAGGCTCGTGAAGGACGCTACTGGGCAGTTGGAGGCAGTCGCCCTCCAACAACAACGGAGGGCGGAGGAGCGACGCTCACAACAACGAGCGGAGCGCTGGGTGGCTAAAGCACAGCAGGTTTGTACAGTAGGGATTATAGCTGATGGTGCATCAGCGACTCGTCTCAGTCAGTCAACCCATTGCACCTGCTGGGTCTGTCCCGTGACCTCATGCACCTAGCCTGGCACAGCAGTCAGCCCATGGCACCTGCTGGGTCTGTCACGTGACCTCAGCGGAGCTTTCAACAATTCACTTGGCAACCACTCCCCACAGACAAACACAGTGCGCTAACCACTGCACCACCACTCCCCACACACACACAGTGCGCTAACCACTGCACCACCACTCCCCACACACACACAGCGCGCTAACCACTGCACCACAACTCCACACACACAAACACACAGTGCGCTAACCACTGCACCACCACTCCCCACACACACACAGTGCGCTAACCACTGCACCACAACTCCACTCACACACACACAGTGCGCTAACCACTGCACCACCACTCCCCACACACACACAGTGCGCTAACCACTGCACCACAACTCCCCACACATACAGTGCGCTAACAACTGCACCACCACTCCTCACACACAAACACACAGTGCGCTAACCACTGCACCACCACTCCCCACACACACACAGTGCGCTAACCACTACACCACAACTCTACACACACACAGTGCGCTAACCACTGCACCACCACTCCCCACACACACACAGTGCGCTAACCACTGCACCACCACTCCCCACACACACACAGTGCGCTAACCACTGCACCACCACTCCCCACACACACACACAGTGCGCTAACCACTGCACCACCACTCCCCACACACACAGTGCGCTAACCACTGCACCACCACTCCCCACACACACACAGTGCGCTAACCACTGCACCACCACTCCCCACACACACACTGTGCGCTAACCACTGCACCACCACTCCCCACACACAGACAGTGCGCTAACCACTGCACCACCACTCCCCACACACACATAGTGCGCTAACCACTGAACCACCACTCCCCACACACACAGTGCGCTAACCACTGCACCACCACTCCCCACACACACACAGTGCGTTAACCACTGCACTACCGCTCCCCCCACACACACAGTGCGCTAACCACTGCACCACCACTCCCCATACACACACAGTGCGCTAACCACAGCACCACCACTCCTCACACACACAGTGGGCTAACCACTGCACCACCACTCCCCCCCCACACACACACAGTGCGCTAACCACTGCACCACCGCTCCCCAAACACACAGTGTGCTAACCACTGCACCACCACTCACACTGACACACAGTGCGCTAACCACTGCACCACCACTCCCCACACACACACAGTGTGCTAACCACTGCACCACCGCTCCCCACTCACATACACAGTGCGCTAACCACTGCACCACCGCTCCCCCCACACACACACAGTGCGCAAACCACTGCACCACCACTCCCTACTCACACACACAGACACACACAGACACACACACAACAACAACCGCCATTCGCCACTAAGTGGCGGTGACATCACCACGACGCTTGTGCCAGGCCATGTGCACCTTGAGGCCACGTGAAGTGTCGAACGCCCGCTGGCAGGAGGTCACGGGGCAGACCCAGGTGCCACGGGTCGACTGACTGAGATGACTGGCTGATGCACCACCTGTGCCCCCTACTGTGCCAACCTGCTGTGCTTTAGTCACCCGGCGCTCCGCTCGCTGTTGTGAGCATCGCTCCTCCGCCCTCCGTTGTTGTTATGCAACCGATGAAAAGATATTGCTGATCGACTGATTCGGAGTGAGACCTCTGCTGTTAAACTGGAGCCGGTCCTAAGCACACTGCCCAGGTATGGGAAACTCTCCACTCTCTCCACAACTGCCCCATCATCGATTGGGAGTTGTGGGGGTGGAGTGTCCGATGGTACAAAATACCCAGGCAGGTGCTTAGTTTTGGTGGGGCTGATGGTAAGGCCCCATCTCTTAGTGGCACGCTCCAGTCTCAGCAGCAGCGTCTCCAACTCCTCCTCTGTTTGAGCAGCTATTACCAAATCATCGGCATACATAACGTGGTTGAGCAATAGGGAGCCCTCCTTTGACCGCACCCGGGCATCAAATTAGCCTCCCATTATATCTGTACCAAATGGAGATTCCCCCGGTACAGCTATTGAAGGCTTCACGAACTACGTGGTCAAAATAGATGTTAAATAATGTGGGAGCCAGAGGACATCCCTGTCGCACCCCAAAGTGTACAGGGAATGGCTCTGACTCCCGACCACGTAGTTTTACCCGGGCCCGCTCACCATCATGAAGGTCCTTAATGATCATGAGCAGAGGGTCAGGGACTCCAAAATCACGAAGAACAACCCAGAGCCCAGGCCTACTGATGGTATCATAGGGTTTGACTAGGTCAATAAAGCAGAGATGTAGGTCTTGTTGGAATTCCCTACACCTCTGCTGTAGCAGACGGACAGAAAATATGGCATCTGTGCAGGACCGCCCTTTCCTGAAACCACATTGGGGCTCCGCAAGCCTCTCCTCAGCGTGCCTGGCAAGGCAATGTTGAATAATCCTTGCCAGGACCTTTCCCGGCACACTGAGGAGTGAGATGCCCCTGTAGTTGTTACAGTCTGTGCGGTCCCCCTTCTTAAAGAGGGAGACCACCAGGGCATCCTTCCAATCCTGCGGAACCCGTCCAGTGGTCCAGACTGTTGTTATGATGTCATATAGGGCAGTCTGTGCACAAACGCCACCCTCCCTCAGCATTTCGCTTGGGAGATCATCTCTGCCCGCTGCCTTTCCTGGTCTCAGACTCTGGATCGCCTTTAGTACTTCCTCAACAGATGGTACCTCAGCCAGCCACTCACAGCGGGTGACTTCTTCCAATATTTGAGGCACCGCAGCCTCAGCAGGGTCATCCCCACTT